GGGAGATATTTGGGAAACAGATTTAAAGTGTTTGGTTTTCTTTTAGCTTTCCATTTGCAAAAGGATTGTTAGAGAAAATGGAAATGATTCACATGATTTACCAGAAATTTCCTACTATCACCTCTTGCTTTCTTACCTATAAACTGGGGATGTTTTTGTAAATTTCTATGTAGTGTATAGTTGACCATTGGCCTTGGAGCAAACAAGGTTTGAACTGTGGCTTCCAAAATGACTGGGTGGGTGGTTTCAGGCAAAAGACTGCCTCTGTGTTTTACTTTCCTCAGCTGTAAAATGGTAATTCCAACAGTGCCCAATTTATAAGGATGTTGTGAAGAGTAAACAAAGCAGGAAAGGCTTAGAATGGTGCTCATCACATCAATGCTCAGGTAATGTTAGTTCTTTTTTTTTTTTTTTTTTATTCAACAAATATTTATTGAGACCTACTGTGTAGAGCACACCTATCCTATGTTCCGGACTGCTAGCCCATTTGGATATGGCTCCCCTTGTTTCTGATGCCTTTTCATTAAGGAAAACTCATAACTGGGGTTAGAGAACATACGTGTCTGTATATATGTCTCATATTTTACATTCATTTTAAAAATTGATTTTATTTTTTAAATACATGGCAGCKAAATGCATTACAATTCTTATTACACACATAGAGCACTATTTTTTTTTATCTCTGTATATAAAGTATGTTCACACCAATTCATGTCTTCATACATGTACTTTGGATAATGATGTCCATCATATTCCACAATCATTGCTAACCCCCTGCCCCCTCCCTTCCCTTCCYACCCCTCTGCCCTATCTAGAGTTCTTCTATTCCTCCCATGCTCCCCTTCCCTACCCGACTATTAGTCAGTCACCTTATATCAGAGAAAATATTCGTCATTTGTTTTTTGGGGTTTGGCTAATTTCACTTAGCATTATCTTCTCCAACTCCATCCATTTACCTGCAAATGCTTAAAAATGTTCTAACATTTTCAAGAAATGTTCTAGTAAGTTATGAATAAAGCATTGGACTACAAGTTCCAAGCATCACAGAACCTGTTCTACTTTATTCACTATTTCATCCTAAATGTGAGGCTCTGAAAAGTCACTTTCCTTGATCTCATTCCTCTTTTGCAAAATGCAGGAATGACACAAAAAGAATTGTAAATTGTAGAATGATGAATTATAATTGATTATCTTAATTCTGCTACACTTTCCAGGAAAAGGATTACAATACCTTATAATGTAATTTTTACTTGCAAATAACTGACAGTATGAAGATACCACAGAGTTGCTATATTATGGTCTTAGAATTTTCAAAAGAAATTTAATGCTGATTATTTGCATCACCAAAAAGGGTCGTAAAGCTTGCTGTCACTAATACTGCCACCCAGCATCGCTATCCACACTCCCCCCAACCCAAGAAGCTCTGTGGAGAGGGAAGGAGAATGAAGTTGGATAAAGAGTAATTAATGGTGCCATTGTCATAAATTCCACCTTTCTTGGCCCTCTAATTCATAAAGGCTGTGTGTGAAAAAGAAAAACTGAACACTAAGAGGCAGTTAATCACAGTGACTTAAGCTTTCAGAGTCTCAGTCTGACTACCTATAAAATGGAATAACAATTCCTATCTCATTGAGATTATCGTGAACATTTCATATAATAAAAAGACAAAGGATCAGGTAAGGAGTGAGCTTTTAATCAATGGTAGCTATTCATAGAATAATAATTGCAATTAAAAAARTATCTATTAGGAAACTACTTCCTTACAAATATTACCAGTGCTAAGAGTAATTCTTCCAGCTGGTATCACACAGTGAAGATGTTCGTTTTCTGATCTAGATAACAGACATGCTAACACTGCACCAAGGAGAGACAATAGCACAAATCATATGCTTCCCAGGTAACCCTGTTTGTGGAAGGGCAGGATAAGAGATGAGGACTGATGGATGGTCAGCTGGGGACAATAATGTTCAAAGTTAGATGGACAATTAAATCAGAAGACAGGAACATAAACAAGCAGCACAGCACAGTGGTACAAGCAGTGCTTGAAGGTATGACCTTGCTTGGTCTCCCTGTGCCTCAGTTTCTCTGAGTGGAGGAGAATGGAAATAGTAACACTAAGCAGGGCTATTATGAAGAGTTAAAGAGTTAATATTTGCAAATGGCTTAGAATAATACCTAAGATAGAGTAAGTGTTTTATACATAATTTGTTAAATAAGCCAGAGGAGTGAGGGGAATGGCAGAAGTCACACAGAATGGTTTGTTAGGAAATTTTTGGAGTCAAGATTAGTGAAGTGGCTTTCTCCGGACATAACCTGGAAAGCTACAGGCTCTCTGGTGGCCATGGTGCATTGATTCATCTTTGAAATCGCAGAGATGAACCAGTGGCTAAGACAGAAAGGAGCCCCAGCTGAGACTAGGAGTAATGGAAGTATGTACAAAGACAAGATGATGTCCCTTCCACAGCAGTCCACAGTATCCCAGCTGTACATCTCCTAAGACAGAGCCCCAGAGGGAAATTGAATCCTGCTCACTATGGCCTCCCCCTTCCACAGCGCTCACTGAGTGTGTTGAAGTGAAGCCTAAGTGAGGAACAAGACTGGATCTGTCATTACTGAGAGGTACTTGCACCCCTACTGCTCCGCACCCAACTTTAACTTCCATCTAGCTCTAAATAGCTCAATGCCAATGTGTGGTAGGTGAGAGCGGAGACTGTAATAACATGGTTCTTGGAGGGAAAACCTAGTCTTCTCTGTAGACTAAAGTTTACTGAGGTTTCAACAGACTAAGAAGTATCTGTCAGGTCTGTCCTCCAGCYTCTTCTCAGCCCTTCACAGACACCCCAAATTGGGTTCTAAAAAACTGAGCTCACAATCTTTGCAAAGAAGCTGATTTTTTCTTACTCTGTAGTCATCCATTTACCAAATTCTTCCCTGTTTTATTTTTTTAATTATTATTTATTTCATTTATATTTTTGCATTACAATCCTTATTACACATACAGAGCACATTTTTTTTGTATCTCTGTATATACAGTCTGTTCACACCAACTTATGCCATTATATATGTAATCTTTTTTTTTGCATTACAATTCTTAATACACATATATACCATAATTTTTCATATCTCTGTTTGTATGAAAGGTATGTTGGTCCCAAATTCAAATCTTCATACATGTATTTTGTCTTGAGAATAACTCTCTCTTACAGCTCTCTCTCTAATCTCTGCCACCACCWCATAGAGTCACTCTGAGATTTCCATCACAGAGGCTTTGTGTTTCTGCATAAGTATCAGTTGAAGATAGAGCTTCATAAACTATAGGCTGCTTCTTATTTCTTCCCTGTTCCCATGCAGGCTCTCTGTTCCTCACCTTTACTTAACCTGTTTTAGTGATCAAGACCCGCTATCTTGACTCTACCCTAACTGTTCAAAGGTAGCTATTGACTTAAGTCTGCATGCCATCACATGCTCTACTTAGAGAAATGAKTTCACAGCGTTAATCACGGAAATCTTCCTCTTAAACACAATATCTGAAATGTTTGTTGCCAYGTGCTCTGCCCATGTTGTTTCCCCTTTTGGAAGAACTTAATCAATCCTTCTTTTCTGGCTATTGGAATAGTGTTGGCTCTTCACGTACTAGTTTGGCAATTAACACCCTAAGCTCCATGTGTCAGTACTCATATGTAATTATATTATCTTGTTTTTCACTCTCTGTTTTCTGTGCTTATGCATGAATGTTCCCTGTTCAACAAAATTATAAATTCCTTGAGGGCCRGAACTTAACTTATTTTAACATTTTTGTAATCTAATAACTATTCATTCAGCTCCAGCACTTGACTTTGGGGTAAGGTGATGCACAGTCTCTGGTCCTCACAGAACCTGCCTTCTAGTGTGCACGTGTATATGTGTGTGTAGGGGAGAGAGATTAAAAAAAAGTGGACACACATTAAATAATTTGAAACTGAGATAAGTGTCCTGAAGGAAAAATAGAGTATGATAAGAGAACATGACAAAACTTCACTTYGAAAGAAAATGCCTTGGAGTTAAAATCAAAAAGATAAAATAGAAGTAAACAGGCAAGTGGTGCATCTAAAGAAGCTGGTACCTTAGAGGAAGTGAAGTCAGTATCTGTAACCTGAAAGGCAGAAGTAAGCTAGGTGAGATCAGGCTGCTGAGTCCTGGCTAGGGTTGCTTCTAGCACTAAACCAGAGTATATGCTACGTGAGAGTAAGCTTTAGGTGGTGTTATAATACATCATAGCAAGGGTCACTTTTGGATAAGGTCATTTGTGAACTTTTGTTGTTTGTATATTAGCCTTTCAAACAATGCTCAGCACACAAACCTTTAAGAACACAAACACAGGTGCTTGTGAAGACGTGTCAGAATGCCCACTTTACTGACCCATCCATGACCAATGAGAACACAGAGACAAGGAAATGGATCTGAAAGGGCTCCATGTAGCTTTAAGAATGAGAGGAACTGCTGATAACTGTTTCCAACTTTTGTCTTTCTCAAGTTCAATAAAAAAAAAAAAARGAATGAACCAACAACAACCATGATATGGACTGTAGTCTTTTCCACATTATGAGTTAGATACCAAAATGCTTTATGCAGGCCACCTAACAGATGGTAATGTATTCCAGTCATTACCAATGTGAGCAGGATTCAAACCAGTGACCTCAGGGGCAAGAGGCTGCATATCCAATTACAAATTCTTGCTTTCCTTAAGTGTTAAGATGCCTAAAGCAATATATTTTATTTACATCAAGATGCATTGTATAAACTATATTTGATAAAAGAGATGACTTCATGTTCTCAACTTAAATCAAAGAATGCTTACTTAAGTATTTTTTTAATTGAATCAGACTTTAATGCCATCGTATAATCTTTTGGTTAACAGTGCTCATCTTGATTATTCTAACAAAGGAAAACATGGAAATTAATACCTAGTTGTAGAGCTTAGATATCTATAAAAATACATTAGAAAAATTCAAAAGAAATACCTGGGACGTCCGTAAAGGTTTCTCCAAGGACAGAGATATGGAAATTGAGTCCTAAGTCCTTTAGATGCATTAATACCTTAAAAAAACTCTCTGGATTTTTGTCATGCTCCCTGAAAATAAACACACAAAACATAACTTTTGTTATCTTATGGTATGTATTAGTAAAAGTGGTTGCCCTTCTCACAGGGCCAATTCTTTTCAGAACCTATGGCTAAGGTTAGACAACAGAAAGTACATAGTATTTTTCTTATTCCCAAAATGATATATTTTCCATTTAACACAGATTTTCTTTTTTAAAGGAAAGACCAATCTTCAAAGGATGATTCTTTTTGGATCATGAGGATGTATCAGAAGTGCTTTTCATTTYCACAGGTCTGAATGCCTTTCTCCCACACTTCCTGAGCCCCTTTGTGCCCACAAGGAACACACAATTTAGGGTGAGCTTACATACTCCTTTAGTCATCTCAAAATTTAAATAACTGAATGAAGAGTCATAAATACAGCAAAAGGGGACAGGTCTGAGACTGTCTGCTGAATATTACATTAGGAATTAAAGCTAATCAACATATAAAAGAGTACTAATAAAAATAATACCTCCATTTAATAGAAACTTTGAAAAACACAGATTATTTTTAGTTTTTTAGTTTTCTTTCTAAAGACAGAATGAGAAGTGAAAGTACACTGAAATAATAATAATAAAAAACTCCAGTTGGAAAAAAAAATCACATTAAAATGGAGTTTTTTTTTTTTTAACATTCTAAGGTGTGAATATTTCTGTATTTCTTGCATTTAATTACACTGTTTTAAATTATCTTATTTTGGACAGATGTAGACCAGATGTCTTCAAAATATTTGTTTTTTATTTATAATTCAGAATTTTAACTTCTTTTTATATTACAGAAAAATAGTTATATATCAGCAATTGAATTTCTCATTTACCAACTAATTATGTAAAATAAATCTGTAAATTGATCAAACTGCTATATGAAATATGAAAATTACATCATTCAGGAAATCTCATGAAAAAATGACATCTGTACCCCTAAATGTGTTAATTCACAATTCAGTCAATATTTTCAGTATCATGAATTAAAACAAATGCATCTTCTAATTAACATTTTAAAAYGGCATTTATAATCTTACAAAATTTTAAGATCTTATAGAATTAGAGTTCTTTAACGATTTATTTTAAGCTCTATGTCTCTCAGTTTGATTTACTTCAAATAATAAAGAATGCAATGGCAAAATGTTCATTGCTTTTTAGATGATGTGCATTACATACATGTACCATTGGGAAGTTTTTGGATAGTTCTCATATATACTACTGCTATGGGCAAGAACAAAGACTCAGAACAGTTTGAGAGGAAAGAATACACCATATGCTATCTTCGACTATATCAATCAAATAGCTGCCACCTTCTCTGTAAAATGTTCTTCTAGTCTGATTCTCTTGGAAATACTTAGATGAAAGAACGGAAACAATATAGCATAATGTATCTTAAAGACGGAGTAACACTGTAGGGAAATCTAGCYACTCAGTTATCTAAATTTTTCATTTTGAGTTCTAAAAATTTTGGCTAGGGATCCCCAAGAGACCATCAAAATATTATAAATATTTCCTACTGTGGTGTGTCTTTGTGTGTGTGTATTAACAAAAAAAGTAGAAGCAGTCTGGGGTTGGGAGGAGGTTTAACCGGTRGAGGCTGTARTTCTTAAGATTCCAGTGWAAGTATTTTCAAAGAAGCAGGCTTTATGGTCCTCCATTTTCAATGTTTCTCTACAAGATAAATGCATTACAATCCAGCTGTATGCTTTAGTTATTTCTTACAAATGGCCCAAAGCTKTCATATTCAATAGTCACTTTGCATAAGAACACAAAAGAGATTTGTGTGAATCCCCTTTTGTTTAAACCATAATATATGGCTGAATATAAGGTGAGAGCCTTTTCTTCCCCAAAATGATCCCTCAGAAAAAGAGGCATTTTATTYTAAAGTCCTTATAAAGTCTCTCATAATATCACACACTCTCCATTACTTTGTTTGAACAGAGTACTATTTGGGGAATATGCATTAGATTGAAACATCATCAACTCATGAGTTTAGAATGGTTTTAGCTGTCTTGCAATTGATAGGACTGGTAAGTGGAAGTAAAGAAATTTAATATTGAGATAGATAGTAATTATTTTGGGAGATATGACCTAACAATTCTAAGCTCTGGAAAACAAGTATTTTAAAGATCACTAAAAAAAGCAACAGAGTAAGTGGTTACTAGAGATCATGAGCAGTAAACAAGTTTTTATAGCTGGGGAAAAGATTTCTAGTGATGGCATCAGATGGTTTCACAAGGTCCTGTAYCCAAACCACTTAGATTGAATTCCAAATGACAGGTGGTGGAAACAAACCAGTTGCCTGAAAAGGTAGCACCACCACTCTGATGTCAAGAATGCATGGGAGGGGAGTCGGACCAAAACTACTTCCTGAAATATAAGGGCAATAGTTCTAAAAACCATAATATGTGTTTCAGAGTCTATTTATATCAAATTAGTAGATGGCATATTATAAGCACACACGTCATTATTTTATCTGTATCTCTTTAAGTTTAACATAGTCAATTTAGTTGAAAATTTCTTGGCTTTTTTTTAGAAGTGGGAAATTGCTTAATATTCAATCATTAAAGATGTGCACAAACATTAGCCACAGCATGGATGATACTCAGTGACAGAACTCAATGTATATTATCCAGCAGGCTACTCATTCTAGATATCTAGTGGAACATCCATAGATCTTACCCCAGTGCCCATCCATAGATCTTACCCCTGTCCATTGAGMAGAATATGTGAATCTGTCCTAAGTCCCTTTCTAAGAAATCTAATGTGAGATTCTCATACATATAATTTTAGTGAAAGCATTAAATAAGACAGGATTTAAAGATAATATTGAGTGCCCTTTTTTGCTAATAGCTGTTAATATTAAATATACATTTAACAACACACCTAAATCTCTAGAACCCCACTTGTAGATTTATGGGCTCCTAAACACTTCTGTTCTTATCCACTCCTGGTAGGAATGAAATTTGAAACTATCTTTTAGAGGACAATTTGGTAATGTACATTATGAGCCTTAAAGTGTGCATAACTATTGCCACAATAATTATCATTTAGAAAAGTTAGCCTACAAAGCAAAGGTATGAATAGAAATTCAGGTAGAGTGTTCATAATAGGATCGTTAATAATAGCAACTATCTCTACACAATCTAATGGAGTATACACACACACACACACACACACACACACACGGAGAGAAAGAGAGAGACACACATACATGATACAAATACCATGCAGTCATTAAAAATAGTATTGCAAAAAATGTTGCAGAAGTATGTATTTGGTACTAAGGATTGAACTCAGTATTTAACCACTGAGCCACATCCCCAGCCCTTTTTTATACTTTATTTAGWGACAGGGTCATGCTGAGTTGCTTAGGGCTTTGCTAAATTGCTTGCTGAGGTTGGCTTTGAACTCACAATCCTCTTGCCTCAGCCTCCTGAGCCACTGGGATTACAGGTGTGTGCCACTGTGCCTGGCCAGAAGTACCTTTTTTGACATGGAAAAATATTCAAAAAACACTTTCAACTAAGAGAGATGRCAAAGTAGCATGTACTATATGATCTGCCTTTGTTAAGTATGCCTAGAGAAGTTTGGGATTAAGTAGGCCAAAATGTTAAAAAGGGTTTATCTCTAGGAATTGTTATAAATGTTTCTTTTTTCCATTTTTTTTCTTTAATAAAAATTTCGTACTTTAATCACTTTTGAGGTTTTAAAGAAATCTTTCCTCTCTAATATCATACCATTAGATTGTATTCATAGGCTTTTTGCTTAACTCTATTACATTTTCAGTATTCACAGTAGCATCATCTCTCTGTTCCTTTGACCCCTCCATATTTGACAACTGCCAATCTAGCAAACTTGACTTATCACAGAACATTCAACCAGATGGGTCAGGGTCCAAGCTTCCCAACAATCTCCAAACTCTTGACTAGGTAAGAATGAAACAGTCTGGCTGGGAATTCTTTGCTCAGCACCCCCACCATGGCAGAAGAGACCAGCACGGAAATATTTCAGGCTTACTGGAAGCAGCAGATACAGCAAGAACAGCTTTTATTCCCAAATATTATTCAGAACATTTGAAAAGCATAAACTGTTTCCATGTGTTTTTTCTTCCTATATCTGTYTCTCTCTCTGTTGCCTTTCCTATTTCGTTTCTAAGAGCTAAATTTCTTCTTATTCCTCACTTAACATTCGTTCAGTAAATATTTATTGAGGATTTCTAAGTTCTCCATACTTGTCACTTATCCTAAACTGTTATCCTTTCCTATTTTCCCACATAACTTTATACATATTGAATGCAATCTCTTTGATCTAGTTCCTTGCCTGGCTTGGGTAGAAACCTGGCTCTTCACAGATATTAGCGTTCCCAGGAGCATGCTCTCTGTGCTGAGAGCTCCACGGAGGAAGGATAAAACATACCTGTCTTGTTAACCATTAAGCACCCAGTGCCCAGTTGAGTAGTCACCCAGATGACTTTTGCTCATCAAAATCTAGTTCTTTGTATCTGGGCACACAGAAGACTCTCTATTCACCCCCTTAGAGTGGGACCCAGCTAAAGAACTAGTTGTGACTAATGGATTGCTAGTTGATTGACATGCATCACTGTCAACTGAAAACATCCAATAGCAGTTCTGGATACTYGTTTTCCACTATGGAAAATCTTGTGTTAAGATGGTGAGGTAAAAGAGTGAAGCAGACTGGATTGCCATATTGGAGAGCTGCCCTAAACATGCAACAGATGAAGAAGGTGGGAGATGATGCATGTGTTTAAGCAACTGATATTTGGGATGAGATATGGGATGTGTTCATTTTTGCAGCATAACGTAGCTTACCCTGACCTAAACATCTGTGGAACAAGTTAGCTGCTTTRTAAATATCTGTTGAGTAAATGAAGGTGTTGGAAAGACAAGTCACATCTATAGAGTTCCTGTTATGTTCCAAATCCCGTGCTGAGCACCCGATCATAATCTCACTTGAGCTTCTCAAGTGGTCATACAAATATAA